GTAGGACTTAGATGTTCTTCTGGATATAGGTGCAGCTGTGAGTGTGAGTATTTAAGCAGGATGGATGTACTGCAGATAGGTAAAACCAGCCTAATTCACACAAGCCTCTCTGCTGCCCTAAGATCACACTCACAGCTGCACCTATATCCAGAAGAACATCTAAGTCCCACACCCACACCCACACCCACATCCACACCCAAACACCTACATCCAAACCCATGCCCACACCACACACCCAAGCCCTTGGATATAAAAGAAAATTTCATCCATGATTTGATAGTTTTTACGGTTTTCCTAATCAATTGACTATCGTAATCATCATAAAATCTGAGTTAATCGCGATTTTCTTTAAGTTTTTTAGAAAATAGACAAAATTGCCTCGATTTTCCACAAAGACATATTGTTTTAGATTTATTTCTTCTGATAAGCGTGTTATTAATCCTTTCAGACCGTATCCACTTAAATGTTCGATATGACAAAGCGTTTGGTTCATAAAGAGTCTTATATCTTAGTTAGTTTCAGTCAAACTAAGGATTCTTACACAAAATATTTGAAAAGCCAACAATGTTTCTTTTCAACATTGAGAAAAACCAGATTCTAATCAAGTCATAAGTATAAGTTTTTGTAATTGAGAGTAGTTAGGTACTGTTTAAAACAAATGAGAAGGACTAATTTCAATGACATCGATGTTTTTTCTACTCCATGCTTTTTTTTTTATTTCAGTGCCACTACGTACAAGTTCGATTGATATTCATCCAAATGCAAAATGGAAACAGAGTGGAGTCACTGTTGCTGGAGGAAATGGAGAAGGCTGTGGAATCAATCAACTCTATGGTCCATATGGTGTGTACGTCATCGATAATCAAATGATTTATGTCGTTGATTGCTTTAATCATCGTATTATGGAATGGAAATATGGTGCAACGAATGGTCAAGTGGTTGCCGGTGGATATGGGGAGGGAAATGGAGCTCATCAGTTAAGCTACCCACGTGATGTTATTGTCGACAAAAAGACAGATAGACTCATCATCAGCGATTGGGGGAATAACAGAATTGTCCGATGGCCTCGTCGAAATGGTAGTGGTGGGGAAACTATCATTTCGAATATCGCTTGCTTCGGTTTGACAATGGACGAGAATGGATCTCTCTATGTCGTTGACTATGAAAACCATGAAGTGAGACGATATAAAATTGGTGACACTAAAGGAACAGTGGTTGCAGGTGGCAATAGACAAGGAAATCGTCTCGATCAACTCTCTAATCCCCACCACGTATTTGTTGATCGAAATCATTCAGTATATGTGTCTGACTATGACAATCATCGTGTAATGAAATGGGAAGAATGGGCAAAACAAGGCACTGTCGTAGCCGGTGGTCAAGGTCAAGGAAATAGTCTTACACAATTGAATTGTCCTGAAGGAGTCGTTGTGGATCAAATGAGTACGGTTTATGTGGCCGATTGGGGGAATCATCGAATCATGCGTTGGCTAAAACCAACCTCAGAGGGAAGTATCATTGTTGGTGGAAACGATTGGGGAGCACAGTCGAATCAACTCAATTATCCCTATGGTTTATCATTCGATCGACATAGCAATCTCTATGTCGTCGATTACGGAAATCATCGAGTACAAAAATTTAATGTTGAATGAAGACAGTACGATGATGAATTTTATTTTTTTGTTCTCTTTCTCTTTCAAATAATCACGACTGAATGAAAATGAATTAACGGCTATTCTATTCGCACGCGCGTGCGACCACTCTCTAAAAAAAAGGAGTTTTGCAGAACCTTTTTTGGGGCTCTGCTAGTGGGTACTAGGGGTTGGCAGTTACCGTTACCGTTCCCGGGTAACGGTAACGGGACCGTTACCAGTTACCCTGGAACTGGTAACGGTTCCGTTACCAGTTACCCGGGAACGGTAACGGCCCGTTACCAGTTACCCGGGAACGGGGTAACGGTACTACAATTGGGGCCACCTTTAGATCCTAAAGTCGTACTATTGGGGGATACCCTTAGGTCCTCAAGTGCTACTATTGGGAGACACCCTTAGGTCCTCAAGTCCTATTCATGGGGAGTACCGTTGGGTCCTCAAGTCCTATTATTAGGGGGTACCCTTTGACCTTCAAGTCCTATTATTGGGAGATACCCTTACGTCCTCAAGTCCAATTC